TATTATAATGTTTTGTTAAAGTAAAAACATGGCTTTTTTTTTAAACAAATAATGTCAAGGCAGCATTAGCTTGCAGGTGTTTATTTCTTTGCCTATATTCTGCAAGCAACTGTTATTTTCTTTCTTTTTTTTTCTTCTACTTAATTTTCTGGTGCACATTTTACATTTCCAAGTTTGTTGCTATTTGCTATTGCTATTTTCTACACTTGTTGGTGATATGCCACATTGCACTGTTGGCACATGTATCAGTTTAGCATTTGTATTCAAATCCAAAATAGAGACTCCCATCTGAGCTTCTCACAGTCACTGGTATCAAACTAGTAATGCTTAAGGAATCACTCATCGGTTTTATAGCTGAATGATTAGGTCCTATTAATTCCCACATTCCCTTCTGAGCCACCTTAAAACTATTTTTCAGTGTTATTGAACCAGAGGTCTTTTGTCTGTTATTCTAGGACATATTCATTTTTGTTTTTTACTGTCTTTGACTGTAGTCATCTTGGTATCTTGTCAGGCTTTGACATTAATGCTTTGAATCAGTCTGGCTCATCAATAGCACAACATTATTATTTATTTATTTATATATTATTTTTGGACAGAAGAAACTAACCAACAGCTGTGACTCCCAAAGTTAGATTTATGCTGACCTCTGAAGATTGTGACTGGATCTGTGTCCCACTGACCTTCATTGGACTTGCATGATAGATAGGCCTAATACTGATGTAGAGATTTGCCTTTAATATCTTTATAACATAAGCCTGTAGAGTTGAGATTAAGTCTCTTGAGACTTTATTTACACACAAAAAGCCATAGGATCTTTTTTATGTATTTTGTGTGCTGTTTTTTCTCTAGGCCTATTCATGCAGGTCTGATTTAAGGAGGTTGAGTTTATCTACCTACAGGTTGTGTTTTTGGAATGAGCTTTACATTCCTCTTTGATTGGTTGAAATCTGCAGGCCAAAAGGCCACTCAGATGAGTCTTTCAAGGGCAAAGTTGCCTCTTAGAGACGCACTGTAGCAGTTCTCTGAATTCATTAACCTTTTAAAAAGGCATGTTTTATTTGTAGATTGCCATATTTCACCTGCTTGGTTGCATGCAAAATGACAGCCCTCAGTTACTGTAAAGGCATATAGTCCTTCCTTTCCATCAAGCCTATCAGGATGACTTAAATAGATATGAAAATTCAGTCATTTACTCAGTCTCATGTCATTCTAAACCCATACGACTTTGCTTTGATATTTTAATAAATCCATTGAAGGTCCAGGTAACCATAGAAGATCCAAAAAGGTCATAAAAGTGTTGTAAAATGAATCCATATAAACAGAGCAAACCTCTTGGTTCACTCTATGTATGTGTGTTGAGCATTGTTTAGATGTAAATTAAAATTGTTTATTAAATCTGTTCATCAGATAAAGCAATTAAACCACTCAATTCATATGGATTCATTTTATGACATCTTTATGACCTTTTTGGATCTTTTAAGTTTTGGTTACCTGGACTTTTAATAGAGGGACAGAAAACTCTCAGGCTTTGCAACTTGTATTTCGAAGATTAACCAAAGTCTTATGAGTTTGGAATAACATGTGGGTGAGTAAATGATGACAGAATATTCATTTTTGGGTGAACTTTCCCTTTAACATCAACAACATTTTAGTAATGCATAGGGCTGGAAGATGGAGTCTATAACTCAATAAATACACTGTTCTGGAGCTATTTTTGGATGCTAAAATTCTCGCAGTTATTTGATAGTTCATCTGAAAGATTCATGTTTTGTGGTATTCAGAGTATTTGTGGCTTATTCTGGCCAAGAGGCTGAGACTAGCTAAACATTGACTTTGGTCTTTTTAAAGGCATAGTTCACACATTTTGTTCAGATATTTTGAAGAAAGTCATTGACTTACATTGAATAAAAAAAACGAAACAAAACACTGAGATAGTCTTCCAAATATCTTTTGTGTTCTACCGAAGAAAGAAAGTAATACAGGTTTGGAAGGACATGAGGGTGATTTATTTTTTGGGTGAGCAGTAATGTTTCATAGGTCCAACATAAAGCTTCTCTGGAGACTGAAAGAATAAAGGATGAAAAGCCACAGCTGATTACATCATTCAAATAAATGTGATCTTACAGCATTATTTCATCTCTTTCTAATCTGAAGCGGGCAGAATGCTGAGCTAACGAGCTGTAGCTTCGCGTCAGGTGGTTCTTGCCTTCACCTCGTGCATTAAAATCGTTCAATGTACAGCTAGCCGTGCATTAGCCTATCCCTTATGTATTCGCTCTTTAGCAGCAGTTTTTTACAGCAATATTTAAATGACACCCTGGTCATTCTTGATGTACCCAAAATGGTCCCACACTATCGACAGGCATTTCTCTGGTGGAAATAAAGCTTTGCTGTTTGGTCCCTCTGTCACAGTTAATCTAACGCATGTAGTAGCCCCGGTGCCTCTGATAAGTACGTCATTTTAAGCTGGTGCACCGCTAGAGTAACTTTGTTTTTGTTTTGCGCAAGCTGCAACAGTTCTGTTCCATGTAACAGAAACACTCGGTTTAGCGGAACCTTTACGATTAATTAACCGTGACGTTTTAAAGCGCGGTTAATCGCAAAACCGGTTAATCGCTGCATCCCTAGTCATGAACTCCCTTTATTTTTATTATTTTGTACTGTTCTCTGAGTCCTGGGGCCCGTTCTTCGTACGTCGCTTATTACATCTGAGATGATTTGAAAGATTCCAGATCTTCTAATCCTGATAACTGATCTCTGGCTAATGTGGTTCTTCAAACGAATTTGCGTATTAGATTAAAATATCTGGATTAAGTTGTCTAGGATTACTACGCGTTCTCGTGTTCTCCGAAAAGGGCAGATGTATCGATACTCGAAACCACGATCAGCAATGCAGCGATTGGCTGGCGGCGAGACAGCAACTTGGTCGCCACTGCTTTTATGAAGAGGTTGCCAGGTTTTCACAACAAAACCTGCCCAATCGCGTTTCGAGGGTGTCCCCCATTAAAAATCGCGTTACGAGGATAAAATACGCATGTTTTGGCGTATCCATCTGTCCCATTGGAATTAAAAAAGGTGACCTCTGCTCTGTAAACATCCATGACAGTATTTCTCTTTTAAAAATAACAAATGGAAATAGATCACAAAAGTATTTCATGTTTTCAGTTTGTACATTCTTTACATTTCTTTTGGACCTGGGGTAGAGAATTTGGAAACATGGTGAAAAAAAAAATCTTGTTGGTTTTTACTTATGAATAATACTACAACAGGGATAGTAAATAACAAAGTTAATGAAGTATTATTAAATGACACCCTGGTCATTCTTGGTGTACCCAAAATGGTCCCACGCTATCGACAGGCATTTCTCTGGTGGAAGTAAAGCTTCGCTGTTTGGTCCCTCGGTCACAGTTAATCTAATGCATGTAGTAGCCTCCGTGCCTCTCGTGTCATTTTAAGCTGGTGCACCGCTAGTGTAACTTTGTTTTCGTTTTGATTTCGATTTGATTTCGAGATTTATACATCATCTGAAAGCTGAATACATTTCCAATGATGTATGGTTTGTTAGAATAGGACAATATTTGGCCGAGATACAACTATTTGAAAATCTGGAATCTGAGGGTGCAAAAAATCAAAATATTGAGAAAATCGCCTTTAAACTTGTCCAAATGAAGTTCTTAGCAATGCATATTATTAATCAAAAATTAAGTTTTAATATATTTACAGTAGGAAATTTACAAAATATCTTCATGGAGCATGATCTTCACTTAATATCCTAATGATTTTTTCGGCATAAAAGAATAATCAATCATTTTGATCCATACAATGTAGTTTTGGCTATTGCTACAAATATACCCCAGCGACTTGAGACTGGTTTTGTGCTCCAGGGTCACATATGTGAAAGTAAAAAACATTTAACTATATTGTTTCATATAAATGTTGTTTTTGAACTTTCTGTTCACCCAAGGAATCCTGAAAAATAATTGAAAAAAGTTTTTCCATACAAATTTAAAGCATTTTAAACATTGATAATAATAATAGGAAATGTTTCATGAGCACTAAATCAACATGATTTCTGAAGAATCATGTTACACTGAAGATTGGAGTAATTCTCCTAAAACTAATAATATTACTATTTATTACTGAATTCTGATCGAATAAATGCAGCCTTTGTGAGCATAAGAGACTTCTTTCAAAAACAGTAAAATGTCTTATGACCCTAAACATTTGAACAGTAGTGTATCAGTAGTATCAGCCTGACCACCGGTATTGCACCAACATATTGTGCATCCCTAGTTTAAAATGTTTATTAATGATTATCTGGGGAGAACAGCTGATTTGTTTTTTGTTTTTTTTATCTCTGCGTGCATCGGCTTCCATCAGTCTTGCTTTGGTGCATCTGATTCATGTCACATTTGTTTGTCTCTGATTCATCCACTCAGACAGAGTTTACTGAAAACAGGTGGCATACAATGATCAAAGTTCAAAGTCAGTGTTTTTATTCCAAAAATAAGTGTCCCTCTGAATCCCAAGCACATACTTTTTTCCTGTGAACTTCTTGTTAACATTCTTTTCTGGCTATTGTTAACATAAGTGCAAAGATTCAGACCAGCTCTTACACAATTCACCTCTGTTCACAAACGGATTTTTTTTAACTAGAACTTTTAACTCAATGCTGTTTTTATTTATTTTGCAAGCCTAGTGATTGGATTCTGCTTAACTTTGTCTTAAAGCAGGTTGGTCTTTATTATCTAATGAATGTGTTGGTGAGGGAATTTTTTCTATTTTGGGCTGTTTGGTATTTTTCCTCAATACTAGAGAAGAGCTTAGGTTTTGTTAAAGTGTTTTAGCTTTTGTGGCTCAGTTTTATTGGTGGTAAACCAGACTTTGTTTTAGTCTGAAAAGCCACACTAAGTTGATTAGATTTGTAGGCTCCCTTTCTGTATGACCAAACATATAATATATTATTTGTTCATCCATTTTTATTGTTTTATTTCAGCTACTGTATAAAGCAAGCATGTATGTAACCAAGTAAGTACTTGCACTAAGGTTTCAAAGTTTGGGGTTAGTAAGGTTTTTTTATGTTAATACATACAGTATCTCACAGAAGTGAGTACACCCCTCACATTTTTGTAAATATTTTATTATATCTTTTCATGTGACAACACTGAAGAAATGACACTTTGCTACAATGTAAAGTAGTGAGTGTACAGCTTGTATAACTGTGTAAATTTGCTGTCCCCTCAAAATAACTCAACACAGCCATTAATGTCTAAACCGCTGGCCACAAAAGTGAGTACACCCCTAAGTGAAAATGTCCAAATTGGGCCCAATTAGCCAGTTTCTCTCCCCGGTGTCATGTGACTCATTAGTGTTACAAGGTCTCAAGTGTGAATGGGGAGCAGGTGTGTTAAAGGGTGTACTCACTTCTGTGAGATACTGTATTTACTTTTATTCAGCAAGGATGCATTAAACTGGTCGAAAGTGACAGTAAAAACATTTATAATGTTGCAAATGGTTTGTATTTTAAATAAACTGCTATATTCAATATTATAAAGTTCTATATTCATCAAAGACATATTAATATTTTAAAAACATATTAAGGAGCATATTCGTTTTTAACATGGTTTTAACAAGAAATGTTATTAGAATGTTCATGTGACACTGAAGACTGGAGTAATGCCAGTTTCATTAGGGGAATCTGACATGTTATCAGTGTTTACTGTATGTTTTCTGTATATTTTTTGTTATATTTAATTATTTCTATTAGGGCTGGGTATTGACACAAATTTCACGATTTGATACAATTCTCATTCACAAGCTTGTGATTTTGATTCGATTACCAATTCGATTCGATTCAATATCGATTATTTTTGATATATCAGGTACAGTACATGCCAAATTTTCTCAAGGAAAAACATCTCTCAACTCTTGCATATACATGAGAGTCGGTTGGTACTACATTACTATAATATTGAAGGTTAAAATTAACTGATTTGTTAAAATTTCACTTAAGTTATTAAAATAATAGTTACAATTACATAATAATATTTCTACTTCAATTTGTTTTGTTTTTTAGTATAAACATAATGGTGGCTGTCATAAAATCTTGATGGATTTATTCAAACATAAATTAAGCATTGAAGAACAGTAAAATTTATAATAAATGTTATATGGTGCATATATTTAGCAAAATGCCCCTCTACAGTTTATTTTTCTATCTGACTAATGAGTTTATGGTCACCGAATATGTTTTTCTGAGGTAAATGTGACGTTACGTGACATTGTTTACAAGATGTTATATTGACGTCTTTGCACGGCTGAAACACTGATTGAGTGATTACATGAGACAGGATACGGATTGTAAAGTTGTACTCTTTCTTTTAACTTGCCTTCGGATGTTTAGTCATGTTTAGGTATAACATTTAGGTATAACACATTTATATATGTTTTAGGTTATGTTTAGTAGGTCCTTCAAGATATCTTGGAGAGCTGAGGTGTCCAAGTCACAACATCTAACTACTGGGGTGCAAATAACTTGCCCCTTTTAGACTTGCACTCTATTTCTTAACTAACTGTTTGTTTTCTTAAAACAAAAAAAAAACTAACACTTGCTTCTCTAATCTTTTTGCATTCTATCTATTTTTCTTTTTATTTATTATACAATTATAATTCTGACTTTCTGACTTCTGATTAAATGCTAAATGTCTAAATGTAAATGTTTATTTTGTGCTGAAACTGGTATTATTAATGTGGAGGAGATGATCAGTTCATGTGCTGCCGCGTCTATTGATCTGAGGTGCTCCAACGATCTGTCACTTCACATTAAACAGCGCCAAAATGGCATTTATTGTTTGAATACAATGGACAGAATTTGAAATCTGAGACTTTGTTTCATATTAAAAGTACCAAAGTGCTTATTGCGATATATTGGATGGGACGTTCCGTCCCCTTCAACGTTCCGTCCATTAACTGAAAACAGGCTAGACTAATAGATTCTTGGGATTTAAGAATCGATATCGTTCCGTAAAAATGAGAATCGATTAATATTGAGATATCGATATTTTTTTACCCAGCCCTAATTTCTATGTATTTTGATATATTTATGAGAATTTGGTTGTCTGTTAGATTTTATTCTGATCAGTTTACTGTTGATTACCTTGAACTGTCCTTGGTTTGATGGGTGGTAATGTGATGTCATATGAATTAGCCATTAGAAAACATAATTTTTGCTAAACATCCTAAAATTATTTATTATAAGTAGAGCACAATAAGTAATGTGTTTAATGCACAAACGTGGAATGCATTAAAATCGTTTAATGCACAGCTAGCCGTGCATTATCCCGCTTATACCATGGCCATTTGCCAGCACTGACAAGTTAAAGTTGTTTGCAGCACAATATTTGATCGGAAGGGTAAAAATTAGGGTTATTTTTGTCACTCACGGCTCGTTAACTCTAGCATTCTGCCCGCTTCAAATCAGATACAGAGATGAAATAGTGCGGTAAGACCACATTTATTTGAATGAATGAATTACAACATTTGTTTGAATTACTGATCGACCGATTGAGAGAGAGAGATGACAGTTGTGTGTGCGAGTTACCTGCGTCTGTGCATCTCTCTCTACAAACAATGAAGCTCTGCTAGTTACTTAAAACAGCGATTTTACCTCCTCATTGCTGAGAAATATAATGTAGCGATCCAGTATTGAAGCTGTTTTATTAATAAAGTGTTTCTGTGCTACTGGATGTTTGTGTGTCTGCGCATTACGATCTCTGATCTCTCTCTCTCGGTGCGAGTGATTGTGTTTGTGTGCGTCAATACTGAAAGCAGCGCATTAATATAGAACGGTGATTAAACTAACTTGGAACTACCTGTGCATTTAAAGGGTTTTAATGCATACCTGCCAGCCAATCAGAATTGAGTATTCAAACAGACCATGGTAAAAATGTTTATAATGTGTTTTAGAGTTACTTTGTCAATTGTCTGTATTTGTTTTAAAGATTGGGACTAAATAACACAGCTGATCTCTTTTCCACAGCCTTGGCACAAAACACGTCACACGAGAGGAGAACCATTTGATGGAAGAAAAGAAAAAGAAAAAGCAAGAGGAAAAGAAAAAGAAGGAAGCTGCTCAGAAAAAGGTCAGTTTCTTTCCTGTGACCCACACGCTTTCACATAATATCTTTACTTGCATCCTTCTTATAAAAGCTGCTTAGCGGACACCTTACTGAGTCTGTCATAAGCTTCTGAAACATCTTCACCAATGTAAACCACAGGTACCAAATGGGACACCTAGAGCTCACAGCAATCTGTTTAGCATCTGCCTTTGAAGCTCTGTTCAAACACAGACAGTTATTATGGTGCTCACTTCTTAGACATCGTCATGGAGTTACAAAGCCAGTGTTCTCATCTTGCTTTAACTAATGCAACTTTCACTGAGTTTACACAGGCCACATCCTGCTGCTCTTTGGATTGATTTAGCACCAGACATTCAGCTAGATCTCTATTTAGCATAATACTGAAATAGTTAATCAATCAATTATAATCAATCTAATGTTTTCCAAGATTTATGGTCCACTAGTCATTTCTACTAATTTCTTTGATATAAAGCTTTTGTACGCTGGACCTGTGAAAATGTTCATTTCTATCTACCTTTGTTCTTCCCTTACAGGCTGCTGAACAGAAAACCAAAGGTCAGTTATGATTCTCTTTGCAATGCTGCACTGAAGCATGAAGTTAAAAAAATGTTTAGGATCTTCTCCATATACATATGTTTGTACCACATGCATCTCCTCAAACACTACTAGAGTGGCAAAAGAAAAAGGTGCATGTGCTCCAGAAATGTAAAATGCTAACTGCCTAGTGCATCTTTATAACGTGAGGGTAGAGAAGAGGTGAACAGTACATTTGATCAGGGTTTGTGCAGTTATTTACTGTATGTGGGTGAACCGAATTAATTGGAACAAGACAGTGCAACAGTTGGTAGAGACCAATCGGCCATGTTTGCGAACTGCTGAGGGATTTAGACATTTGTGCTTTTAAACATTTAAAAGGTAAATGATATTGAGCAGTTGTAACTGTCCCTGTAGTAAATCAGGATTATATTCCTTAATGTAATGTTGACTTATTTGTAATGACTCATTCACAAACATGGTGCTACACATAAAATATTTTACGTACATTGTTCACAGTTTTTATTAGTATTGTTATTGTAATTTAATAAAATTATGAATTTTTAAAAATAAAATCTGTCTGGGACAAGTATAAAACTATCAAATCTATACATTGAAAGCATTTGCAAAGTAGACAATTAAATGGAGAAAAGTTTTACAAAAAGAACAAAGCTGAAAAAAAAATTAACCACTAGGACATAAAAGTTCTTGTAGTTGAAGAAAAAGACACCCATTAATTCAATTGTATCTGTCCTATGTTAGTCTCAGTTAAATCATTGTTAAACAGCAGGTCTAAGACATGATCCAAATTAAAGGAGAAGTGAGAGTGACAGCACTGGAAGAGAGACAGCGAGAGCAAGAGAGGAAATGATGTACTGACGTGTATGGTTCAGGACTCCTCGCCCCATAGGACAGGTTACGCCCCCTTCATTGAGAGGGGTGAGGTATGAGGCAGTAAATTTAAGACGGCAGAAAGGGCTTTTTGAGGGCTGTCGTGGGGCAGATGGGAAAGGGGCTTATGTCATGTGAGGGAGAGACAGTCATAAATCTCATTAGAGCATCTGCTAATGCTGGAACAATCAAACATCAGACTTGACGCAGGAAGAAATGCTGGTTTAGTGCTCACAGGGACCTTCCATTGCAAAATACTCTTTGTCCTTCTTTCACGCTTTCATCCCCCAAATTTCTTTATCACTGTGTGAGTCAACGCTGAGAATCTTTAGTTTCTTTAATCGGGGTGCTCTAGGGGCATTTGCAGAGTTCTGCTAATTATATCTAATATGGTTTTGCTATGTTTCACATCTTTCTTTATCCCCTCTTGGGCCACGCTTCCTAAGCACACGTTATCTTCAGCTGATAAGGATATGTCTCTTCCTTCTTCCTGTTAGATCTTGAATTCGGCTGACCGGTTGCTGGGTGGCTCGACATGTGTGTTAGATTTCTTCTGCGTAAAGAATAGTAAGATAGACCAAAGTGCTTGTTTGTGGAAAAGGATTTGTCGAAGGTGATAGTGTAGCATAACCCTCCTGGAGCGATGTTGACCTTTATGTGTCTAAGCCTTCTAAACTCAATATATTGTCTGTGTGACGGATCTCTTATAATCTGACAAATGTGATACAAATAAATAGATACAGTGATCTGAGAACTGTGCCAAATGATTTTCCTTATTAATGTGGGTTTTGTTGATTAAAGTTTTATGGATGTGCAAAAATGCACAAGTTAGTGGGCTGTTCGAACAATTAGTTGGTCTTAAAGGGATAGTGCACCCAAAAATGAATTTTCTGGAGTTGTTTCAAAACTGTATGTATGACTTTTTTTCTTCTTCTGTAGAACATAAAAAGATATTTTGAGAAATGTCTAATTTTTCTGCTCCTACAGTGGAAATAAATTGTTTGGTTTCCAACGTTCTTCAAAATATCAATTCAAAATATTGACAGAATTTACATTTTTGGGTTAACTATCCCTTTTAAGAAAGCTCTGTATATCTAGACTGGTTTAGAGCATGTCTATCAGATGCCAGATGTGTTTTTAAGATGTATAGATGCTAATCTCACTTGTTCAGTGGGGTAACTGACAAAATGACTGAATTATGCAACCAAAATCATCAGCCATTATAAACACCGAGACCTACATGGTAATAACAGCATGCGATTTGAAGACTGACAATTATTGTCGTGAAATTTGTTAAAGCTGTGAAGTTTGAAGTCTCAACACAACTTCTTTTAGTCTTTCAGCATGCTCAAGCACTCTCTGTGAAGTTAGTATAAATGCACAAACAGCTTAATCACAGAAAAATTGTGATTAAGCTATAGCTTGCACTGCACTGCAAATCCCTTTAAAGCACTGCCACTACAAACATTAAAGCCACATAAAAAGAAAAAAAAAGTAGTTGGCCTCACTTATCGCCTACTAGTTGACCATTTTGACAGTGCCTCCTTCTAGTAAAAAGTATATTCAATATGTGCTGCTCACTGAGTGTTGAATGGACATTTTAAATTCGGTATGATGTCACCTAAAGAGCGTTTGCATCATTAGAGAAAGGTGAAGCTAAGCTCTGAGGCATGAAGGTTTGGAGAGACTCCTGGAGGAAACAGCACTGTGCTTTGGTACAGAGTGAGCAGTAGATGACTGCAGAGCCAACTTTTTCTTTTCAAGAGAGGCCCAGGAGGCCCCACACAGGGGCACATGCACACACACAACCTGGAGAAATTCACAGGGAAGTGCTCTTGCCAAACTGATTATTTTTGTGGAATGAACAGAGAAAAAAAAAGAGAAATAACAGAAGAAAAAAGTTTGATGGAAAGCCGCCGTAGGTGTCTGTGTCAGTGGAGGAAGAGAGTGATGGAACTGTGTGTAAGAAAGAGTGAGAACCTGCTTAAGTTTCCTGTCAGCTCAAGTGTCTTTGTTTTGGCCGCAGAGAAACTCAAAGACCTCGGCAGATATTCAGGCAACTGAAAAAATCCTCCTTTCACCTCTCCTTTTACTCCCAAGCTATTTCTTTCTCTTTCACTTTCTAACTCATTGTCTTATCTCAATCTCATACACACATACCTCATGGACTAATCAGGTTTTTGATGTGCTAAACCAGATATTTCAGTTGTTTCTGCTCTTTTTTTCGGTTCAGGCACACTTTTTCCACTTCAGCAACGGGTACTTTGTCTTGCACACTTATTTTATACTTTTGCTTGTCTTTAACATACCATTTGCCCTACTTTTCAGTAATAAAGAAGCTGGTTGTCTAAATAAGCATAAACTCTGAGATTGTCATTTTTATAATGTGGTCTGACCCACTTGACAGGTCAGTTTCGGTTTGAATCCAATTATGATATTGGGATACTTTGAAATGTATTGAATTTTTATATATGCGTTGTATCTTGAGGAATGTGATTGAGTGGGTACTGTTTACTTGGGACATAGTGGTTTGTGTACACTAATTGCTGGATTTACGAAGGTTTGCACTCTGCATGTCATCAAATCTTGAAAGATTCTAAAAAGAGTTTTATTGGAGTCATGCAGTAGCAAGAAACCAGCTCAGCCTCAATCACAAGTCTAGGCTATATTATACTTTTCAGTAGAGCCATACCATGAACATTTTTGCTTAGTTCTTTTAGTGTGGACCGTGAGACCCATATTTTCTTCTAATTGTATCTCAACTAGTAGGGCATGGTGCTAGCAACACTTGGATCATAGGTTCTATTCTCAGAAAACTCACATACTGAGAAACAATATCTGGTAGTTATTGAGAATGAAGTATCTTAATTTTGTCAGTGATTCTTTACAATATTTTGCTGAGACTGCTGTGCCACTGTTTGAATGGCATTGTATTGTATTGCAGTTTTATTGATTTTTGACTCACTCCTAAACCTCAGGAAAACATGAGCAGCAACTCTTTTTATTGTTCAGACATCCTTGTTTGTATTGCAGCCCGTTCACACCAGTAACTGTTACGATAACTATAAAGTTTTATTAATAATGACACAGAGGAACAATATAGTTGGGATAACTTCAGAATTATTTTTTTGTCCAGCTGATGAATGATAAAAATTTTGACAGCCAATCAGAACCCACCTGATTTAAGTGGCAGACAACATATCTGCAGCATGCACTTATAGTAAACAGAACTTTGTTGTTCATTGGTGTGGATGCTAAAATCGCAATAGTTATCGTTATTTGTGTAAACATCCTTTAGTCTGTTTGATATGGCAATCAGGGGCAGTTCTAGAGGGGTCCATTACCCAGCAGGCCTACGTCAGGCTGAACATCAACACAGGTTGTTTGTCAGTTAACACCTGCTCTGCTTTAAGGATCTGCTCATTACAGCACTTTCCTATGCCATATTTGCCGAGTTAGGCCATCGTTAATTACTGCTAATGACTCAGTCTGGCTGTTCGTCCTTGAGTTCCTCTGTTCGTAAGGAGGAGTTTGATCCCCTGAGACCTTGGCATCCGCTGTACGGGCAGAGTACAGGCTGCTGCTCCATGAGTCCTTACCCAGACAGCCCATCTGAGAGGGCAGCCGTTACCCACTGTGTGCATGCAGGGCAGCAGAGAGATGACTCATGGCCTAGTGAATCATGGTTTTTGGATGCTTCTTTTCAAGCTCTGAACTTGCTTTTTAGAAATTCACTTTGTTGTTACTAAAAACGTCTCTTGGCAGTAACACAGGCACCAAATTAAGTGCCACTTTTCCCCCTGCAGGAGGCTGGTGCTATAGCTGGCGTCCCTTTTGAAACAGTCTTGTGCCTTTCTGTTATTGAAGCCTTTCTGTTATTGAAAAGGCATTGTGATTAATTTTATTTGTTATATATTTAATTAAAATGTATTAGTGATTTATATAACAGTGTATATAATTTATTTATTTATATTATAACTTAGTTATATGTGTGTGTGTGTATATATATATATATATATATATATATAATTTTATAATTTATGGACGTTGCTTCAGTGGTAACTACTTGAATCAGGTCTCTGAATTAAATGACTTTGGATGGTGGAATGTTCTCAAAACGTGATATGAAA